GCCTGGTTTCTTCAGAACCAGGGAGTGTAAAAGCGGAGAAACGGCCCTGTCGCTCAAGCTGGGACGGAAACAATGAAACTGTCAGAAAAGAACACAATTTAGGGATTTTCTGACAAACGGTAGGGTAGGTACTAATGTGTCTTTTGGAAAGGACAACTCCACTCAGATGCTTTGAAAACATACAGGATAAGTTGGATGGACGTAATACAATGCGCATAAGGTTGCCAAAAACCCTTTGGCAGCCCGCAATGAGTTTGGACTTTATTGGGACTCAGGTAAGCCCAGTTCCCAAGTTTTCGTCAACCCCATGTGGTACGTGAACAAAAATTGCTTGCCTGCATACCAGATTGATTTTGAGGGGAGAATCAACGGAAACTCAGCCGAATCTCTCTTAAGAACACCATAATCCAAAGATTCAGAAGGATTCCTGATCAGTCTCCCGTCAAAGTCAAAAAGGATGAAAATGAGTGCATAGTCGAATATGGTAGGTTGTCCACTGATGGATCGACCCCTGACCGGCATCCTGCGTCATACAAACAATCCACCTTTTACTGTATGACTCCAACTGTTTTTCTTAGTACCCACTGACTCCTCGCAGGTTCTTTCTAGAGGCATTTCATATGCATCATCATCCGTTGCTGTTCCGTGTTGAAGAGGCTACTGGTGCAACACTGATTGTAGAAGAGGCACGGATATGTGTAACGTTACTTTGACGGACCCTCTCTTCATGAATGATTTGAATTGCTCTAAAGTCTTGCTTAAATGTTACAAGAGTCTTCTATTGGCGTACTAGCAAGAATTTGATCCGATACTAGAGTTTCAGCGGTATGATGAAATATTTTCCCAGCGGTTGGCCCAAAGTACGCACTCCTCAACAATAAAGACCGTTTTTTGTCATCAAAGACGCTTTCAATTTGAGTGTGAGCCAGAGGCGGTCAAACAATGACTTGGCAGCGAAGTATGAAAGCCATTACCAGCAAACTCAGCTGCGCTGGTCACTGCCGTCTTCCTGGATTGGGACTCCGAGATGGTCCGCATCAATGGCTAGAGACATTGTCAGACGGCTCAGTCGCGCCTTCAGTGGCGCTCGTACATCTAAGCTATTGCCTTCAATGCACAGCTATCTTCCCAATACCTACACTTGACAGCCCACTGACAATGCTGGATTAATGCACCAATTTTTCATCTCCCGCCTGCAATGCGCAGCTACTTATCCCTCCCCAAATCCTTGGTGAACGAAACTGCAGCAGCTATAACCATTGTACGACGAGTACGCGGTTATTACAGCTGACAATGATGATGATGATTTTTACATCCACAGCTGAAAACTCCTTCATTACCATTTCAAATTCAAGTGACGAAATCGAATCCGCGCCACGGGCCACAAACACTTTCAGGCTCTAGCAACTAAGAAACTTGCCAGAATCACCATCGTTATCCATAGTTTTTCATTTGAAAGCGGATTCTCAGCACTAACTTTAGTCTACTTTTTAGTTTTGTGTGCATCATAAGATGCACGCGTCATAATGCAACCAAGACTGTCCTCGTTATTGCACGCTGATAAGCGCGTAGCGGATAAGCGGTTGGCGCTGAAGTTAGATCACCTATAATAGAGACATCCTACTTCTTGCAGTGTCAGTAATGTTGATGCCAGGGAATCCTCCTCAGTCTTGGAAATACGGTGTTTTATGGACACTGTCTTGAGGTGAGGCAGCTGTTAGGACAAACTGAGCACTTGAAATCACCTCAGTGTTAGATTATTTCAAACGAAATTTGAGCAGATGAATACCTTAAATATTCAAACAACGCACATTGAGGTAAACTTTAGAGACAAATTTTTTACTACTTTTGTACACCTAGTTGTACCAGCTATAACATTAAGCAACTCAAATGTTTGCAAACAAATTGCGACGTCCACGCGGGACAAATCTATTTTTATACTCCAACAAGTTGAAGTTTGTTCGTTTCTCCAATCGAACGAACATAAAATTTCAGAGGGCTACTGAGCTGTCCATTTTTCCTCAGATCGCTAACACTGGTTGCTTTAGAAGGTAGTCCATGTAAATATTGGTTACAAGGGCAAAATACCTAGCAGTATACGTCGCAAAACACGATGTTTTGAAACGCAGTGAAACTCGGCTAAAAATAGGCTTCAAGGTATTTCAGAATTTTTAACGCTTCTTCGTTATAACCTGCAGGGCTTCGCCTCAGAAATATCCTTGTGAGTCACACTTAGGCAGAAATATTTGTATTCAGAATGTGTCGGAGAAAACACGGAACTAAAATTTATTCGGAAGCCTATCATAAATATTCCTGAAGGGGACTACTACTCATCTGCTCAGCAGATATTCAGTAGATTCCCCTCACCTGATGATTTCTTCACGTCATTGAAGCCAATCTGCGCTGTAAAACCGCAATGCACTGTACGGCTGTTTCATCCTTATTGGGAGTCATCAGCGGCGCGCATCTTTTGTTTTATATGGGTAGTATGAGGTGATCGCTCACTGTCTGTGGATTTTCCGGATTTCTCCATGCAACTTCCCAAGACTAACATTTCACAGCCAACTGCACAGTAAAATTAAAGGTTGTCTGTTCCTTTATTCAATGGATGACCTACAGAATGGTCAGGAGCAGACATGCTTTTTCATTTGACATTAGTTTCAGTAGGTGAGTGATATCTGCGGTGTATAACTTCACGCCTCAAACGACACCGTTGTCCTCAATCAGATGATGCATAGCAGAGTGCTGCATATGACCTACGGCGGTATCTCTTCAAACGAACACGTTGTAATGCAAAGGAAGAACTCTTGATCATCGTTATTTGTGTCCAAAAGGCTGACCGTATTCTCAACAATCTAACCGATTCTAGCTAGGTAGATTGAACAGGGATATCTGATAAAGGACGGAAGTAACCAACTATGTTCAGTCATATAGAGGCATTTTTGGATTCCCTTTTGTGTGTTTCGCCCACGTGTTTGTCTATTTGACTGTCAAGATCGAAAGGATGAAATTTTGTCATAAATGAACTATATATATATATATATATATATATATATATATATATATATACTA